GTCTGAGAGATCTGGACCTGAGTGACAACGACCTGCAGGATTCAGGAGTGAAGTTACTTTCTGCTGGACTGAAGAGTAAACACTGTGAACTGGAAACTCTCAGGTCAGAATACAGCTGGATGTTGTTGTTGTAAATTGGATTTTGGTTCATACTGGTGCAGATGTTCAACATCTGTAAGATTTTCCATTTTGCTTCTTGAGTTGATGATATTTTTCTGACTCCAGTCTGTCAGGTTGTCTGGTCACAGAAGAAAGTTGTGCTTCTCTGGTCTCAGCTCTAAGCTTCAATCCATCCCATCTGAGAGAGCTGGACCTGAGCTACAACCATCCAGGAGACTCAGGAGTGAAGCTGCTTTCTGCTGCAGTGGAAGATCCACACTGGAGACTGGACACTCTCAGGTATGAACAGACAACAGGAGCTCACACATTACATGCTTGTCTCATGGTTTTTCGTGTTATGTATCTTACAGGTCCATCATGAAGCTTATCTTAATTCTTGTTTGTTAGAGGAGTGAGTGTTAAGTTTGAGTTTTTCTTTTATGTGGACCAAGATACAGAACACTGAGAGTTGTTGTAGAAAATGTGGATTTAATAAATAAACAGTCTTTAAAGTGGAGGAGAGGTGGCTGAGGGAGGTCTTGATGAGGTAGGATGATTTGCAGGTTTGCTCGGTCATCCATCTACAGTGGGTTTAGCCATGCCTTCAGCAAGACGTTGACAGGGAATGATGAGAACCACAAGAGGAAGAAAGTACCAAGTACCCGTCTGTACAGGTACAACAGTTGGCATGAGGGCTCAGAGCACTGGTGGAAACAGGTTTAAGCAGAGACACTTTAAATGCAGGATGAACATTAAGAGCAGGAGGGCGTTTGAGTCTCATACAATGGAGTTGATAACCTTTTCTATTTCATATGGTACAATGTATTTGGGAGCGAGCTTACAAGAGTGTGCAGTGGAAGGTCTCTGGTAGAGAGCCAGACTTTGTGACCAGGTTTGTATGCAGGAGTGGGGGCATGGTGACAGTCTGAAAACTGTTGATTTCTGGCAGCGGTTTGAGTGAGTGCCCCTCAAGTTTCTTTCCAGACTCGATGGACATGACAAAAGCGATGTTGAATCAAGGGGACAACTGCTTCACTTTCTGTGTAGGCAAGAGTGGGGGAAAACCATTCACTGCAATGACTGGAGCCCTACCTGTGACAGAGCTGACCAGGGTGTTACAACCATATTCTATCCATGGGAGATGGGTGGACCAAGAGGCAGGATGATGAGTGGAGCTAATTCCAAATTTTGGACAGCCCACTCTGTCTGGCTGTTGGTCTGAGGGTTGCATCCAGATGAGAGGGTAACTGAAGCCCCTATTGTCTGACAGAAGGCCCTTCACACTTGGGAACACGATCTGACACTATATTTTGGGGGATACCATGAAGCCTAAATCTGTATAGTACTAGGAGGTTAGTAGTCTCTATAGCAGATGGGAGCTTGGAAGCTTGGACTAAAGTGAGCAACTTTCGAAAACCTGTCTACAATGGAGAGACTTGTAGTGTTGCCTTCTATGGGAGGTAGATTAGTAACCAAGCCTACTGCTATGTGGGACCAAGGATGGTGTGGCACAGGAAGACTTCAGCACTGTGCTGCAGGCACAGATGAAGCAGGCTGAGACAAACTCTGGTATCAGAGATGAATGTCAGCCACCAGACTCACTGACAGAGGAGGTTGAGGATATGGTGAAAACTGGGATGGCGGCAACCTTGGAGGAGTGCCCCTACTGCATCACCTGAGGCCTGACTTACTCAGGGACAAACAGGCAATCTGGCAGACAGTTCTGTGGAGGTGGGTGGTCCCAATATACCTCTTGGACCACCTGCTCAATTGCCCACCTGGCCGCTCTAACCATACAGGAAACGGGGACAATGGATTGCAGTGTGGAATCCTCTTCAGGTGGTGCAAACTGCTGAGAAAGGGCATCCACTGTGATCCACCAAATGTCATTAGGACACAGTCTGTATCCATTGCAAAGAGAAGGTCCAGGTGAGCAGCTCTGTTAGGCAAGCACTTCAATCAGATGCCAACCTTTTTTCATTCCACCATTGAGGTCAGGGCTAAACCTGTCAACACCTGTTTAAAAAAAAATGCAATTTGGTGTAAACAAAGTCTCATGGGTGTGGCTCCTCCCATTTCATACTTTGTCGGATAAACTGGAGCAGTCTAGACTTCCTTCATTAGCCTCACTGGATAAAGTAATTCAAAGAAAATCATTCTGATTGTGTTTCTTACTGCAGGGTGGAACATTGTGGAGAGCAGAGATTAAAACCTGGTCTGAGGAAGTGTAAGTTTAAAATAAATTACAATTGATGATAAATGAATAAATTTACAATATATTGTATAGTAAACACCGAAAAAGCCATAAGATGTGTCAGATGTTATACTACAGCTCTGATGTGTTTTTTTTTCTCCATCAGATTTCTGTGAACTTGAACTGGACACAAACACAATAAACAGAAACCTCCGACTGTCTGACAACAACAGGAAGGTGACAACGGTGAGAGAGAAGCAGCCATACCCTGATCATCCAGACAGATTTGAATACTGGCAGCTGCTGTGTAGAAATGGTCTGACTGGTCGCTGTTACTGGGAGGTCGAGTGGAGAGACGAGGTTTATATATCAGTGAGTTACAGAGGAATCAGAAGGAGAGGACTCAGTGATGAGTGCTGGTTTGGAGGAAACGATCAGTCCTGGAGTCTGAGCTGTTGTGATGATGATGGTTTCTCTGTTTGGCACAACAACATTGAAACAGACATCCCCTCGACCTCCTCCATCTCTAACAGAGTAGGGGTGCATCTGGACCATCCTGCTGGCATTCTGTCCTTCTATAGCATCTCCTCTGACTCTCTGATCCACCTCCACACCTTCAACACCACATTCACTGAACCCCTACATGTTGGATTTCTTTTATGGTCGTATGATTCCTCAGTGTCTCTGTGTTCTCTGTAGGTGGGAGACTGTTTGGAAGTGACAGCAGCTTCAACTTTGCTGTTTAAATATTGATAGTAGATGATGTTTCACTTGTGAATCACTGATTTATTGTGAGACCATGTGATGTCTTAAAAGCAGTGAAACATTCTCCTAAATGCTGAATCTCGATACTGAGTGAGCATCGAGTTGCTGTTAAAGGTTCCAGCGGCTGCCATTTAGTGCACAAGTGTAGCTGTTCGACTTTAACTCTCTCCCTGTTTTTCCAGTGTCCATCAGTTTCAGTTGGAAAACAAAGTGTTATATTTGTGTATTTGAGAAGTTGAACTGATGATCTTTTATGAACAAAACTCAATAGTGATGTAATAGATGTGTTTCCTGTTCATACAGAAAGGTGTATGAAACATGTTGCCATAATGTCTTGAAGTAATTATGTACTTTATGTATAATCTTAGTATAATAATCCTAGAGTAATTTCACTCTTGCACTTTGACTCTTGTCTTTAAACTAAGAGGTCTGTTTGTTGGTCTGGGAGGGTTGTTTATAGAGAGAGTTTATGTTGGGTTTTGGAATGTTTCGAGAAGGGAAAAAAGAAAAATATTGACTGCATTCTAATTGTGCTGTATGTCTTAAACGTGTTTCAATAAAAAATATGCTGGAAAAAAAAAGTTAGAATCGTGTTCAAAAGTACAGAAATTGTTGGTATTTACAACAAAATTGAGTGTTAGAAAATGTACAGACAGACAGACACACAGAATTACACTGAGAAGCTGCTGCTAGTAGTAAAAATAATGCAGACAGGTAGAGATATGAGGAGTGTGAGCGTCCTGAAACTTCAGCAGACAGCAGCAAAACAGTTCCTCACAAACATAACAATAACTAAAATATGTACACTCATAGAGTCGTGGGGGGCTGGAGTCTATCCCAGCCGACTTAAGGCGAAGGCAGGGTCACCCTGGACAGGTCACCGGTCTATCACAGGACTACACTTAGAGACAGACAACCAAGCACACTCACATTCCAGATCAGAATCACCAGTTAACCTCAACATGTTTTTGGACTGTGTGGGAGGAAGCCAGAGAACCTGGAGAGAACCCACGCTGCACGGGGAGAACATGTTCATCATGACTCATGCTTTTTTTTTTTTTTTTTCTGTACAGTTAAACATGTGACAGTTTGACACATTTTCATCAGTGTGCAGCTTCATCAGCTGTCCCATAGCTGAAACTCTAAACATGTCAAACTGATCAGTAAACCGCCACTTAGAGAGCCAGACAAATATCCACAGCCTTCATAAAACAGCCTTTAAAACACAGTAACGTTGGAGGCTGTCTCTCTGGTGCCTTCAAACCCCTCACCATGTCACAGAACCCTGCAGCTCATTAAAATCCAACTCTGGGCAGAGAACAGTTAATTCTAACTAACAGGCAGCTTTTCCTCTTGGGATCACAAACATTTTCCAAAGCTGTGCAGGAACATGATATCAAAAGTCATGTGTTTCTAGTTAATGTTAGCCTTCAGAGGAACCCATTAAATTACAGAGCAAACCTCTTTAGGAAAAGATTCTTTCAATGTAAAGACTTTTCTGATTTATTTTGAGATTGGAAGTGATGCTACCTCAACATGTCCCAGAAATTATACAGACTTCAGATTGGACGAGGATATAATAAAGACATTGGCCGAAACTGTCAGCAAACATCTTGTTTTCCATGATCACAATTTGTTTGATATTAAAGGTGATGTTAGCTGTATTTTTTCTCTAAAACAATATTGAAGTTCGATGTTGATGGATTGTTGCATGTTTTGATAATGTATAAGAAACTGACCGTATGTGAGGTGAATGGTGAATCTACACATGCTGTTAACGGTCGAATGTTCTGCTGCCTCTCCAGCACAACCTGTAATTACACATCACTGCATTACAGTTCTCTATCAGCGTAAACTAAACCTTTGAGTCTTGAGTTAATCTGTTCAGTACATTTCTTGGTCTGCTGAGTGCAACTACCCTCAAACTGTCAGTCTCTGCTTCAGCCTCATTCGTTTTGTTCGTTGTGCTCCTCTGTTCCTGTCACTTCCCTCAGTCTGCCATTCATCCATTCATCCATAAGACGACCTCCCAGTCAGCTGAACAACCCAACATGTCCAGTGTTGGTCATATAGCACATACAGTATGTGATCCAAACTGCTGCTGCTACATTAAATCTCATCAGATGGTCATTTAGCTCCATCTAGTGGACAGGCAGTAGAACTCCATCATCTGATGTGGGACGTTTCTGACACTGGCTCGTTTGCTCCCACAGGTTAGTCCAGTTCTGTCGTCACTAATTGTTACGGCCCACAACATTAGTGTTATGTGCTGGGGGCACATAACACAAATGTTTTTTAGACTTTAACTCTGAAGTTATGAGGATGTGATGGTGTCCTCAGATCAAGGACCGATGAGGGAACGTGAGAAGCTTCTGTTTCCTCGACACATGAAGGTGGAAAGTGTCTGTAAGTTGATGTGAAGTGAGATGAGCAGGTGAGAATCGTACCAGAGGAATCAGTACATGTCTGATCTACTGTGATCACACCGAGTTGTATCACTGTAGAAGTATTTCTTCATCAGACTGTTTAAGTACAAATGTTTTACATCTGCTGTAGAAGTTATTTGGATGATGTTTCACTTTGGTTTACATATGACTCACTCATGTGATTGATGTCAGAGCATGTTTCGTCTCAAATCGATGTAATGATCTTCGAACCCCTGAACTTGCATAAAAGCTGGAGATACTTTAGACTGACTTCTGCAAGACTATTTCTTTTTATAGCAGCATCTAGTAACTGCTTTCTGCTTCTGGTGAGCTCCTTACTATGGATAAGAAGAGAAGAATTGCACATTACGAAGTACAGGTCGATGGTCTTTCTGCTGGATCCACTGTCGCACCTTCACTGGTGCCTTTATGTGTAGGTGTGTTCTGGTCTGCTCCCATCTGGGGATATCTCACTGAATGCCTTTGTGGCATTGTTGGGTCATCGCTGGGGACCACCAGTCAACAATGTCTTGTCAGAGCAGGCCTGAACATTTAACCCAGACAGAGGAGGGGTTTAGTGGCTCCGTTATGCTGTGGAGGCCATTTTGCTGGAATACAAATAAATACCAAGTTGTTCCAGGGACTTGGAGAGTAAATATCAAGAAGCATTAAAGCTTGTCTGATGGCATGTGTTGACCCAACGCCTTACAAAGAAACTTTATGTTGAATTTTTCTTTATTTTACTTTCACTTTCAAGATAAAATGCATAAAAAATGGTTTCAGCTTCTGAAGCTTCGTTTTCTTTTCACTGCTGCTTTTCTTTATCTTACGTTTTAGTAAAGTAAACTACTTTGGGTTTTGGACTATTATTTAGGACAAACATCATAAAATATGATAACACTGTGGTGGACCTTGTCTCTGTTTTATGTTGCTTCAAACACCAAGTAATGAACCAATTGATTGTAAGAATAATCATTCGTTGGGCCACTGATTTGGTCCAGTGCATTATGAACATCTCTGAGGAGAGTATCTCTGCCCTTCCAGAATACAATAACCTGTATTTGGAAAGCTTTAAGATCTGTTCACAAGCACTTATCTGTTAATGATTGACTCCAGTCGTTGTTCTGAATTCTTCATTTCAAAGTTCACGGATGCTCACTGATCACATTTCGTTTGATATTGCTTCAGATTAAAGATTAACAAAGAGCGCATAAGCTAAGTGTAAATCACAAGAGCTGTGAGCACCATACTTGTTCCTTGGAGTTGAAGCTGCTGATTCATGTCACCTTCAGTCGTTGGCTTCATGTAGATTATTTCTACCATCCAACGGTAACGTAACCAAATGTTTTCCACTTCCTCACAGTCTGCGGGTGTCAGTGTTTAAACTGATTTTAAAGTTGTTGGATGTTGATCTGGCGCAATTTTCAGCTGCATTTATTCGCTGTTCACTCATTTTGTCTCAACTTGTGAAGCATTAATGCACATCACTATCTACTGTCCCGTCAAAAAGATGTTAAAATATAATGGGCTGTTAGAACCAATAGAAGCTGCCATTGCTAAACTGCAGTTACAAATGGAAATGCTCCCCCATTTGATTCATAATGTAAGCTACATTTGGTGTTAAAACCTGATTTTCATCAGAGGGGGTCTTTGATGGTCATGACAGAACCGTTTCTAGCTTTTTGGGGGCACTATGCGGCCTAGCTCGGGTGCTCACGTAACAAATTCACTAATCATATAAGTGCGGTTGTAGTGCTTCCTTGAGCCAAACTGACCCCAAATTGCCTTTGATGGCGCCTTGCATTGCTACGCAGCCACCACTGGTGTTTAAAAGTGTGTGTGACTGAGTGAATACAAGTTTCATTGTAAACTACTTTATAGAACCCCGGTACAAGTGTGGACCATTTACTATTCTATGCAAAGTCTGCCCACCAAGTCTGGATCATATTCCTTATACATATACAATGACATCACATGCTACTTTCTGCAAAAAGAAAGTTTTTTAATTTGAGGAACTTCGCTGCATTGTTAGCATCAAAATCCCCCCAAAAAACAAAACAACAACCGACATATTTTTCTTTTGCACTGAAACTACAAGCACAGCGGAGTCATGTTTGAAGGAAGTGTCAATTTATATTCAAAGAAAAACAAGATGTTTGGAGGTCATGGGGTCCTTTGCACTTTAACATTTTCACCTTGTCACAGCAAAGTAGAACCGCTCTGAAGGTGGTACCAGGCAGCGTGATTCATTATGAGCAGAACAAAAAGGACCATTAAATACGCTGAAGCAAGAGTTCTTACTAATGACGTCTCTGCAAAAGCACTCTTGGCCTTAAATATTCATTTAACATATTTACTGATGTTGACTGATTCACTCTTGTAACTGAATGGAAAGTTACATAAACCAGACGATTAACAGGAAACAATTCAAACCAGAATACTGTTCCTAGATTCTCAAACCTTAAATGGTGTCAGCAAGAGCAAAAACTGAAAAAAGAGGCTAAACTGAACAAAAGGCAATCAAAACACAGCTACGAGTAAGAACAACATATGCAACGTTAAATAGGCTATTAACTATAAATGCCAGTTTTCAAGAGAGTCCAGGTATAGTCAATCATTAAATTATTTCAATGAATAATAAAAGTGCAGCTGAATATTTTTTGGACGGTGATGCTATCAGATGTGAATCATTTATCTGTTACTGATAGTTGTTTGAGTTTGACCTTTGTGTTAACAATAAAAACATAAAATAGTTTTGCGTGGCGGCAAAAGGTGTCAGAATGGTTTCTTCTTCTTTTTCTTTATGGTAGTCTCTTGTTTTATGTATGAACTTCAGATTGTTGCTCCTGGTTTTCTTAAATAAAGCATACAACTGAAGTGAGTACACCCCGCGTGCAATGATTACTTCTGGTGGCAAACTGATTCTCCTTAGCATGCAGGATACCAGCGATGCACAAAATACCTCAAAGGTGATTGAAATCAGGCTACGTACTTGGAGAGGTCACAGCATTCACTTTATCCTACTTTAGAAACTCTCGTGTGATTTTGGATTGTTATCATGTTGGAATCTTCCTCCTCTGCCAAGCTTTTGCAGACTGGGAGTCGTCTTGTCAGCCAGTATTTTAGTAAATCCACATGTATTCATGCTGCCATCAATGTATGTAAACTCTCAAAGTCCTTTAGCACTCATGCAACTCCATATCAGCCCACTCCCACCTCTGTGCTTCACTGCTAGGATGATGCATTCACTCATGACTACCTCAGTAGTTCTGGACTAACATGCTGTACTCTGTCCAAGACCAACACGTTTGCCTTGGTCTTATCTGTATGTCTCATCAGCTCATGCTTTCTAAAGTATATATATATTTTTTGATTATGTATAAGAGGGAATTCCCTACTCATTACTAATAATGCAGTTATTGAAAGTTAAGGCAATTTTGATTCATTTTAAATTGAAGAGTTACTTTACTCACTTGTGTTGTATACTGTAAATATATGTTTATTCCTGATCATGTGACATGTGTTGTGTTTTACGCTTCTGTTAAAGTCTCCCTTTTGAAAAATAATTTAACATGGGCAATGTGAAAAGCAGTAAATTAGACAACGGTGAAGTTTTTGGATAAATGAGCAAACATTTTTTTAAATTACAAACTTTATTTTTCAGTGCCTTAGTTTGACTACTCCAGACATTTGAGCCACGTCAGTGACAGTAATGAGAACTCATGTTGTTGTTGTACTGATCAGGTTGTTGTGTTTGTGTGAAGGTGTGGCTCTGCTATGAATCAGTATGAGGACAGAGAGGAGGGAGTCCCTCCCTCTAAAGCCACTCTGTTGGGGGAACTTGAGAGCCAGACCAAAGCTCAGAGGTGAGATGAACATCCCTAACTGTCCAATAATCCAGACTCAGTGTTGTATTTACACACAGTTATTCATACCCCCACAAAACTTAGATTTATAGTGAATTTTCACTCGACCAAAAGGTTTGTTCTTGCTAAAAGTTCAAAGAAGCCACAAGAAAAACAATATTCACCCTAAATCATTCCTTCATTATATTCTATTCTATAGGAAAGTCAAACTCAAGAATACAAAGTCCCCTGTATCCAGTGTCGTGTCCATGCAGAGTGATTGGTCCCAGGGTCGACCTGTTGACTTCAAACCTGGACAGGAGCCTGCTGTTCCAGGGTAACAACCAATATAACTATACAGCATCCTTCTGACAGAAATGATTCTTTATCGTTTAAATTTGTGTTTCATTTAGAATTAAAGTTAACACATTTTTCTAATTTAAATTAATCTACTGTGATGTGTAAATGTCGTTGGTGAGTGATCAATAACATCCTATTTAGAAGAGTTTTAGAAGAGCAAGCAAAATAAATCGTAAAAATAAAAGCACTTCCAGAATTTATTTGTTATTTGTCAGAGATACTTCGCCCACTTAACTATTTTGCACTTTCTGTTTTAGGAAGAAACATCGGCAGAGACCAGACTCTCCTGTATCCAGCACTGTGTCCATGAAGAGTGACTGGTCCCAGGGTCGACCTGTTGACTTCAAACATGGACAGCAGTCTGCAGATCCTGGGTAACAATTCAAAACTGAGGGTACAGGATGGTCTGATCTAAAGAATCCTAACTATATTATCAGCAGTGTTTATACACACATGCATTCATCAGTATGATGACTGAATAAAGCCTGCAACAAAAACCAAGCAATACCTTTGTTGTTAAGATTCTGATGTGCACCAGAAACTATGGGGTTCACATCTGACACTATATGTAGTGCTCACTAAAAACTATGTAAAAACTGCAGAAGTGCCTCTAATTGATGAACATATTAAACATTGTACATACATAATATGTCCTGTGTTTGTAGGAAGATCCATCAGAAGAGACCAGACTCTCCTGTATCCAGCAGTGTGTCCATGAAGAGTGACTGGTCTCAGGGTCGACCTGTTGACTTCAAACAGCACTCTGTTGATTCAGGGTAAGAATGAAAATTGGTAAAAAAGTACTTGTTTGAAAAAAGAAGGTTTTGCATAGAAATATGGAACTTGACAATTTAAGCACATTGGAAGAAGCTGATCATGATTATGTTATAACAGGATCCGTCACAAAAGACCAGATCCATCTGGACTAAGCTCTGTGTCCATGAAGAGTGACTGGTCCCAGGGTCGACCTGTTGACTTCAAACAGCACTCTGTTGATTCAGGGTAAGAATGAGAGTTGGTAAAAAGTACTTATTTGAAAAACAGAAGATTTGGCATAGAAACATGGAACTTTACAATTTAAGTGTGTTGGAAGAAGCTGATCATGGTTGTGTTATAACAGGATCCGTCTGAAAAGACCAGATTCATCTGGATTAAGCTCCGTGTCCCTAAAGAGTGACTGGTCCCAGGGTCGACCTGTTGACTTCAAACAGCACTCTGTTGATTCAGGGTAAGAATGAAAATTGGTAAAAACTACTTATTTGAAAAACAGAAGGTTTTGCCTAAAAACATGGAGCTTTGCAATTTAAGTGTGTTGGAAGAAGTTGATCATGGTTGTGTTATAACAGGATCCATCAGAAAAGACCAGATCCATCTGGATTAAGCTCTGTGTCCCTGAAGAGTGACTGGTCCCAGGGTCGACCTGTTGACTTCAAACAGCACTCTGTTGATTCAGGGTAAGAATGAAAACTGGTTTAAAAAAAAAAGAAAGAAAAAAAAAGTACTTATTTGAAAAACTGAAGGTTTTGCCTAAAAACATGGAGTTTTGCAATTTACGTGTGTTGGAAGAAGTTGATCATGGTTGTGTTATAACAGGATCCGTCAGCAAAGACCAGATCCATCTGGATTAAGCTCTGTGTCCCTGAAGAGTGACTGGTCCCAGGGTCGACCTGTTGACTTCAAACAGCACTCTGTTGATTCAGGGTAAGAATGAAAACTGGTAAAAAAAAAGTACTTATTTGAAAAACAGAAGGTTTTGGGGGTCCTCAAATGAATCACCCATGACACTGCTGTGCAAATAAATCTACTGTACACGGCTTCAGTGATGTTCCTGGAATCACTGGGTGCTGCGGGTCTTTAAACATCATACACCCTCATCCAGGGGACCCAGCTGTGGCTGATCAGACCCAAGCTTGTGTCCAGTTGGCAAATCTAGCTACACTGCCCCCAAGGATCTCCTCTCTTGAGCCATAGCCATCTTGAGGCTTTCTCTGCCGCTTCAGAGGTATTGTGGATGGCTCTCCTCCTCACTCCATCAATGCCTAACAGACTGAAGGCTCTGGACAGGGATCAAGCTGCAAAGCCCTTGCATCCTACCTCTATTGGGAGATACCTTGCTCTCCATCCAGCTTGTCAACACTCGCTGTCTAGTCCCTCATACTTGGCGAGCTTCCACTCAAAGGTCTTCCCAAGGGACTGTGAGCTCCAATAGAACCACATGTTTGGTAAACTCAGACAAGAGTACGACATCTGGTCTTAAGGAGGTTGTAACAATGTGGTTGGGGAACTTGAGTTTCTGCTCCAAGTCCACCAACAGCAGCCAGTCCCTTGCAGTGGCAAGGCTGCTCTCCAGCTCTGATGAAGGCAATTGCTTGCCTGGAGGGGCGGGGATGCTTGGCCCACTTGACTCCTGTAGCAACGGCTTCAACAATGGCCTTTGGCACCTGGTCATGCCTCCACCTGTGCCTTCCTTCCCCCAGTGCCTTTCAGCAACAACTCAGAATGTGCTCCAGGGTTCCACTCTTGGAGCACAGTGGACATGCTGGTGGCTCCACTTTGCCCCATATGTGAAGGTTTGATGGGCTGGGAAGCACATCATATACCACCTGGACGAGGAACTTGATCCGCTGTGGCTCTGCCTTCCACAGCTCAGCCTACGACACCTTCCTCTTGATCGCATTCTCCCACCATGTCCAGGCACCCTGTTGCCTCATTCCTACTGTCCTGCAGGTTTTCTCCTCCTTGACCACTGCTCTCACCTCCTCCTGGATTAGGCAGTGCTTTTCCTTCCCTTTGGTGTTGTCAAAGTGGAGAGTTGAAAAGGAACCCAGTCCAGCCTTGCCTCCTGTTACAACCCCCACCAGCCTATTGTGGTATAATCTTGCCTCTGCTTGTCAAACAGCCACCTAGGCCTTCCATTTCCAACCAGTCCTCACTTCAATCCTGGCTTGGATCACTTGAGTCTCTGTATAGCAACACTTCCATAGCTCTTGTTACCTTGAACTCCGCTTCCAAGGACTTGAGTGCCAGTTGCAGTTTGTTGCGGTGCCCGTAGAGTGCGATGCTATTTAGACTTCTTGGAAGTCTCAGCCATCTTCTGAGATGAAGGAGCAGCTGTACAAAGTGCTGCTTGGTCCTGGAGCAGAGCTTGCACACGCTTTCCCGACAACCTCTCGACCCTACTTTAGCTGCAGCTCTGACATGTTGAACTGCACACTTGGCCCAGGAGGGTCTATCAGAGTGCTGCACACCCCCAACTCTTGTTTTCTCGCTGGGTCTCTGTATGTCACCTTCAGGTGGTGATCAATCTCCTCCTGAGAACAGACCAGCTGGCTGCTATGCTTCTGGCCTAGCAGTTCCTTCGTGAACTTAAAGGGGTTGGCAATGAATGCAACTCACTTTTGGGTTCTTTCGCGGCGCTGCCCTGATCTTCTTTTATAGGATACCCATCAGTTGTGCCAGACCAATGCACTCCTCCTTTCCTGCCTGCTTGTGCTGTCGCTTCAGGGGCTTCATCTCCTGCCTGATGTGATGGATTCTCATCTCTCGTTGGTCCTTTGAGTGAATTCCTTTGGAGTCTCCTTCCTTCACCTCTTCACCAAACTGTTCGGATGCGATGCTTATAATGATGGTTGTCATGGCTTGCAGTTTCCTGTTAACATGTCCCCTGTTGGTGGCCTCCAGAATCTGGTCGACATCAATGTCAAACTGATTCCACAGTGAGGTCATGCTAGCTGCTGGCCACTTGATCTGCCTTCACTCAGACTTGATGCAGGAGGGAGTCATTTGTAACACTTGTTTCTGTGCACTGTGGGGTGACTCTGGGCCTAGCTCCTCCAGCGTTTCACCAGGTTGCACACCTGTGCGTTGTGTTGGTCTTGTACCCACCAGACGCCTCATCTTCCCTCGGTAGATCTTTAGGCCTCACTCATTCTTACAGATTTTGCCACATGTACACTGCTTGCTCGTAGTCGTTTGTCTGTTGGCTTGGTCTAGAGCCATTGAATCCATCCAGTTGGGGTGCTTATCCACCCCCCTTCTCAGGCACCCCGGGGGCATTTTTCCATTAGGTTCATCATAGCTTGTTGTGGGATTTCCGCTCACAGAAGACACAGGTTGGGTTGCCGGCCCATTCTGTCCCAATTGCCGTCTCACCGGGCTGTCGCAGACTCTCCAGTAGTCACCAGACTTTTCATGGTTGTCAACCAGTCTTTCCTGGTCACCACTCATTAAATCAGGTTAAAGACTGTGCAAATATATCTACTGATGCTACTGGACACAACTTCAGTGATGTTCCTGGAATCACTGGGTGTTTCCAGGATTCCTCTGCAAAGATCAGATCCATCTGTATTCAGTTCCTTGTCTCTTAAAAGTGATCATTCTGTGCCTCAATCTGTTGTCTTCAAACACAAACAGCAGTCTGCTGATCCTTGATAAGAATTCACAGGTTGCACAAGTTTTTAACGTTGCTGATCAGTCCATCATTATCTTTGATGCATTTGGATCGTTTACCTCTGTTAACACACCACACCACAGAGCAGCATTTATTATGGTCATCTTGTGTTTCTATCAGTAATTGCTATGATAAACAACAGAAAAGAGTGTATGTGTTTAGGATATTTGTTTTAAAAATGTGTTTTTCCTCAGACTTCTGCAGCAGAGTTCAGCAGTTTCCAGCAGTCAGTCTGGCCAGCAGCATCCAAATGACCTGGACTCCATATTTATGGTGGGTAAATATGCAGTCAGCTACTGCTGCTAACTTCATTAACTATTCTGTTCTAAGCAGTGTTCATGCTGCTTGTTGTCAGCAAACAGCCCTTCAGATGAACGTGATTGTGTTTCAGCTGCTGGAGGAGAGCATCATGAGTTTTGTGAAGAACGAGCTTAAGAAGATCCAGAAGGTTCTGAGTCCAGATTACCCAGAATGCTTAGAGAGTCAGAAGGAGGAGGAGGAGGAGGAGGTGTTGAAGGGTGAAGATGAAGAGCAGAGGAGGAGCAGCAGAGAGTCATTTCTGCAGATCACACTGCACTTCCTGAGGAGAATGAAGCAGGAGGAGCTGGCTGACTGTCTGCATAGCAGTAAGAGGATTTTAGCAGATTTAACGTGACGGAAAAGTGAATGTTTCCAAATTTTACTGTAAATATGTATCAAGCATCTGCAATAGATCAGTGAGTTCTTTTGAACAGCCCATCAAGAGGGACTGACAGGAGACAAGCATGCAGCCATTATCAGTCTTGCAATCATGCAGTACAGATTAATCTCAAATAACAAACACAGGTGATTCACTTACACTCAACTGAAACTTCAGCTGGCAAGGCAATTGTGAACCTTTTCACCTCTGAAATCCACAGTAGACACTGCTCGTCATGACGTCATGATGTACACATGCATGTAGACATAGTCCATGGATCAAAAACTGGCAAAGGTGGTCACAGATCAATTTATAGCCATGTTCATGCAGTTAGACTAATTTTAAATCAGGTGTAATCAGCTTTGTTCCAGTGATCACAGCTTTTCTAACTTGTGTCAGTGATCAAAGGTGTATTCACTTTAGTCACATTAAGTTTGTACTTTTTGGCCTGCATTGTATAATATTTCTAAAGTAGTTTTAATTCTTCATGAGACTAAGTACTTGCCACCTTACAAATAATGCAATTGTTGGGAGGTGATGCAATTTGAAATCAACTGACATTTTAGAGATTCAAGGATTGTGCATAGAAAACTGAAAAAAAAATCTTCTGCAATCTTCATCAATAATTCTGTAAGAATGAAACACCATTTTTTTCTGTCCAGTGAAGCTCTACACATTTTCATTTGTCTTTTGTTCATTTAGGAACACATGATAATGTTTGTCAGGAGAAACTCAAGTCTAACCTGAAGAAGAGGTTCCAGTGTGTGTTTGAGGGGATCGCTAAAGCAGGAAACCCAACTCTTCTGAACCAGATCTACACAGAGCTCTACATCACAGAGGGAGGGACTGCAGAGGTCAATGATGAACATGAGGTCAGACAGATTGAAACAGCATCCAGGAAACCAGACAGAGCAGAAACAACCATCAGACAAGAAGACATCTTTAAACGTGCGTCTGGAAGAGATGAACCAATAAGAACAGTGATGACAAAGGGAGTGGCTGGCATTGGGAAAACTGTCTTAACACAGAAGTTCACTCTGGACTGGGCTGAAGGCAAAACCAACCAGGACATCCACTTCACATTTCCATTCACTTTCAGAGAGCT